TCTGTTTTTTAAGCCCATATTGAATTTTTTTACTGTACTGTACAGGTTTTAGAAGTCCTCTAGCCCATTTAGACCAATCAATCAAAGTTGCCATGCCCCTGCAGGGTCTGACCATGCCCCAGTTTTGAAAAAGGGTGAAGCCAATGATTGTGTGACATGATGGCTCCCGAATTGCTGACACTGACCTCACTGTTCAAGTGAACAGGGAGGGGTGGATTCTACATTCCTCATGCTGAGAAAAGGTGTTCAGGTAAGACAATGCCCCTTCTCCAGCATGTAGAGGAATGTAGAATCCACGAATGGGACATACCAAAGCCCCTATGAGCCCACGGGTGGGACGCAGGCCGGTCAAGTGTCGATGTTGAAATGGACCACCTGCTGTAAGACCCGGCGGCGGAATGTGGCCTCTGCAGAAACAAACTTGTCGAGCTTGTAATGACGTATGAAAGTGAAGGGGACCCTACAGATACAGCTATGGCCAGATGTTTGAAAATGTTCCACCTGATGGACAAATCACAAGTATTTTCTATGAGTTTTCCTACCTGAAGCCATTGACATGGTTGTCCTTTCACATATAAAGCACTATGACTTTGATTTCAACATCTAATACAAGACAACTGAGAATTGTTTTGCATAAAAATATAAAGTCTCATTGTATAAAGAAAATTGGTATGAAGGAAAGAAGTCTGAACTTTTTTCTTGACAATTCAATTTAAAGTAAAGTTTCATGTTTCAGTCCAGTCTAGAAAAAGGCTTGAACTATTTTGCAGAACCAAAAACAATCTAGCAAATCACATGCAAACATTCCTGGGGGTATTTGCAGTCATAACATAGAATCATTAGACTACAATTCTTTGTGATCACAAATTATGTTATGCCAAATATAGTTATTTTCTTTTAGTATGAGATATGTTTTTGTCTGCTGTAGTTATCATTATGTTCAATCAAACCATTGTGTGCTGATTCCAAGAACTATGGCAAACATCCTTTTACTTGACATTACATCCAAATGCAGCCTTGACAGACCAATGCTATGTATGTTTATGCAGAAAATAACATCTACTGAATTCAACAAATTATCTCCAAGTATGTGAATATAGAACTAGAATCCTATTATAGAATAAGTTTCACTATATTCATCAAGGCTTATTTCTGAAGTGTATATGGTTGGTTAGCTTATGCTGTCAGACTCAGAAAAAACCCACAGCTATTTATCAAGCCAATTGTGCTTTCCCATGATGTTTTTAAAAATAATCTATAGAAATGGGTATCTTTAAAAACAGACAGGGAGACTTTGAAATAAAAAGCAATTCTTTCAGTCAGATTACCTTAAAACATTTAAATGCATTTTATTGCATGACTAAGCGTCAGCCCAATAATAATAGAAAAATACATCACAAATTCATAAACATTTTTTCTTCTTCTTCTTCTTCTCTCTCTCTCTCTCTCTCTCTCTCTCTCTCTCTCTCTCTCTCTCACACACACACACACACACACACAGAGAGAGAGAAAGAAAAACATGTTTGCTTTTGTTTTTAATACTCATGGGTGACTGCAACACAGATTGATAGCTAACCTTCAGGCTAATTTCTTCTGAAATTACTGTTTAGCTAATAAGAGACTGATCCAAAATAACTGCTGATAAAATATTGTGTGTGTAACTTGGTCATGTAGTTAGGAGTGTTAATATCAATTAATTCTACTCACACTTGTTTTAAAACAACTTCATTTCCCCCTTACCATATATGTAATTACACAGCTATAACTAATAGCCATGGAGAAGCAATCTACCATCTAAACATATGGCATTAGTGTTCAAAGTACTACATACGCTTTGGTTCTTTTATTTTCACACAGTGAATGAGGGATTATTAGAGATGATTAAATGTACATATAATGCTTTTTAGTAAAAAGCTCAACTTACTCTGTGAATTTGGCTTTTTATAATAGGCTTTTTTTCTTCAGTTTTACTGTTTCATTGTTCAAAATACTTAACATTAATTTCCCCAATTTATTTTTTGTATTTTTAATATATATATATTACTATTAGAGCTAATATTTATTTTAATATAAAGTATTATGTATTTCATTTACTATGTAGTAATATTAACTAAGTAATTTATCCCTTATTCAGAACATTTTCTGAACATTTCTACCAACATTTTTATCATCTTGGTCTCATGTTAGTTGCTATATATTGCACACTTCAATATTTTTAATTGAGTCTTTATAAAATTAGGTAATAAGAATATTTTTTAAAAAAAATGGGGGGACCTATTTTATAGCTATTCGTTGTAATGTAAAAAGCAGTGACATTTTGCTTCAGTAAACACACAGAATAAATTAGAATGGTAAGAGTAAATACCAGAAATATAGTACATTTTACAAATTGTATATAGTTTTGAGAAGAGGATTTCCTGCTTCATTGCCTCTGTAATACACAGCCCCCCTTCCTTTTTCCTCCTTCTTTTGAGCCTAATGAAATATTTTATTTATATCAATTTTAAATACGAATGCTATCATATTTCACTTGTTAAAAAGGGTAGAAGATCAAGATTTAACTAAAGTTCAAAGTCACCTTCACCATTATTAACTGTTTTGGCTTGTGTAAAAATGGACATCACTTAATTGTTAGGTGGCTTATATAAATCTTGTTTCTACAGAGAATAGTTATAAAGAATAAATTGGGGAATGTTTGGGCCGTGATGCATAAAAACAGTACATCTATTGCGCTACATCACATGTGTCAAACTCATCACATCACGTAACGTGTTGAAATATATAGCGACTCTTTTTGCATTGCCGGCAATGGGGTGGGTGCAGCTTCAGTATGATGAAACCAGCCTGCAGGCCTGCAGTTTGATACCCTTGCTCTACATCAAGGCAGCTATCAGAATGGTATTTAGTCTCTGTTTTTGAGAACTCAATCCAGGTAAATACAATTCTGAGAGCTTCTAGAAACTCCTTCCACATTCCTACTGAATGCCAGAATATGAATAGCTCCTATAGCTAATGCATTGTATACACTAATTTAAAGTGTATAGACTCATAAGTACAATTACCTTTAGAGCTTTCCAAATAGAATAGCATATGCATTTGAGGAATTTGGTAAGGATGAAACCAGTCACATGTGGTGACTCCTGGTGGTCAATGTAACTGAAATGGCACATAGGATGTGCATGGTGTAAAAATGTAAAGAGGCGGGCAAGAGAATGGAATTATTTTAAATGTTTGTCACTGATGTGAAAGCTAATCCATGCCAACAAAGATAAGAGAATAAAGATAAGTAGTGCAATAGAAGGCATTAAATTGTCAATATTAGGGCACTATTGTATGTGCAACAGGTAATTATCTTAAAATTGGAGCATACCTATGTATACACTACTGTGAGAAATTCTCCATACTTTCATTAATCACATTAACATGTATTTGGATGTAGTTTTATTATTTCAATTTTATGGTTACTTTACACATGTCCCTTTCTGTAAAGATCTATAATTTTAAATATAATGGCTATGAATCCGCTAATCCTTAAGAAGAATAAAGGACATATTTTCTGCTTGTTCTTGGCATCAAGAAGTATCCTGGTTGGTACAGGATGTGCTGTTATTATAAGCATAGATTGGGTTCATCAATCTTAAATTCCTCTTTCAACTATTTTTATTACATTTTTGTCTTTCCCTGCTTACTGAGTTAGAGTCATCTGAAAGTTGTTAAATTCATCTGTTCCTATTGGCCTAAGCCTTCTTGCAAATATTGCAAAAAATAGTAGGAAGATGTCACATAGCTGAAACCACTTACACTTGGGAGTTTTGCTTTTAAGGATCCCTTAACTTATCTAATATTGCAGGGTCTGTGGTGGTCTCTGATCTTGGTTGTTTTCTTCAGACATTTTATTATCAACTTGATAACATCATCAGTGCTAGTAGGAAGTGGAGTTTACTGTCATTTTATATGCTATTGATTTGCCCTCTCAGTATTGGTGGAGTGATCTTGGTGGTTCCTTGATTGGGATATTGTTTACTGTTAGCTGATTTGTCTGGTTGGTAGTTCATCGATTGGGGTATTGTTTGCTTCTTGATTGTTGATCTAATGTTAATCTTGGTATTATCTGTTCATCTGGATATTGACTGGTGGTGAGGAGGTATTGTGGTCTTTTTGTTTGAAACCCCACTTCCTACTAGCATTTTTTGCAAATGAAACATTTGCAAAAAAGCAACTGATATTGTTTTATCTTTTCACATCCCTTCTTTGAGCCTTAGATTAACAATGAATCCTGTCCATATACGGCATTTCATTTATTTATTGTGAAAACCTTTAGTTCGTTACACTTTACAATATTCAGCAACCTATGTAGTATATATAAAATAAGAATTAAGATATGATTAGGTTAAAAATAAGAAAAAACACTAAAAAACAAAGGAACAAAGAGAAAAAACTATCAAAAACAAGGTAAAATTAAATATAAATGTAAGAAATAATTGAATATTAATATTTGCCAAAAAAAAAAAGCTAACAAGGGGAAAGTGGTCTTATTTTGTGTCTGAAAGCTGTCCCAAAGCATTGGTGCTGCCAGAGGAAAAAATGACCTTCTAGCTTTAGCTTCCTGAGCTACTTAAAAATGTGGTATTATAACTACTTTTTTTTGGGGGGGGGGGGTGATCTAATAGTTTGAGCTGATGCTGGTTGGAATTGGCAGTCCACTCTGGCCCAGCTTTTACTTGCTGTTTCAGAAAAAGCATGAATCCAAATCACAGAATCAATCGATATAGGTAGTGTTTGCCTGTTGAAAAGTTACTTGTGGCAACAGGAAGCCAAGAAATTTTGTCTTACTTGGGTTCAGCTTCCACCTAGTTCTGCCATCCATACCATCAAAAAAAATCAAGAAAACTCTTTTATTATTATGCCTGTGTTTGCTAGCAGATACATTTCCACAGACTTCCACAGACTTCCACAGAAGAAGCAAATATGATCTTCATTTTTTTAATATTCATACTTACACATGTAGTGGAGGAATGGGAGATGGATCATAATGATAACGTCCCTCATGATGTCTTGTCTCAATTGGTACTGGAGGGTGAAAAGTTGGGAAAAGATGAGGTGGATCTGAAAAAAAGAATGTACAGATCTCATTATTAGATTAGATTAGATTAGATTAGATTAGATAACCTTTATTGTTATTTTTTACTGTGGGCACAATGGCACACATTAAAAATGAAATTTAGTTGCTTGTTCTCAAAGTTTACACATACATAACACACACTTAAACATACTATATACAACATATGTCTAGACCTACACCCTTACATATAAGTAACATATAAATATGAATAACTGTCCATCTTGAATATATAATGGAAGGAGGAAGCTTTAGAGTTCACAAAGTTAATACTGTACGGCACAAAACTGTGACTGAATTTGGATGTTCTGCTTTGGATACCACAGAGTATCCTCTCAGAAGGTAACAAGGAAAACAGGTCATGAAGAGGATGTGTAGTGTCTCAGACAATCTTATGGACCCTGCTCAAGCAACACTTATGTGCTATGTCCTGGATGGAAAGGAGGAAACTGCCAATCATCTTTTCAGATATCCTCACCACTCTCCGCACCACCTTCCTGTCTGAAGCAGTGACGCTTCTAAATCAGACTGTGGTGCTGTATGACAGGATGCTCTCGATCGTCCCTCTGTAGAAAGTGGTAAGGATAGGGGAAGGAAGATGAGCTTTTCTCATGTGATGCAGAAAATGCAGGTGCTGCTGCGCCCACTTCACCAGTGTCTCGCTATTAAGCAACCAAGCCAGCCTACTTGTTAACTGCACACCCAGGAATTTGATGCTTGTAACCATCTCTAAATTTTAATAGGATATTAAAAAATGAGCAATCATTTATTAAACATTGCATTCTTTTAATGCAGCATATATTTAATGCAATATATGTTGCATTAAAAAGCAAGCTTTCCAGATACTGAATTTTGTATTTCCAAGTGTCCTTTGTTAGTAAACATTTGTTCAGCAAACATTATGACTTTGTTAAAAGAGGAAACTTATGACTGATACTCCAAGTTGCATCTGTAACAGCATCCTCACAATCACAAATCAAGAATTTGCCAATCAGTTTACAGACCTAGATTGTTGGGGGCAATATGTTGACTCTGTAAATCACTTAGAGAGGGCTGTAAAGCACTGTGAACCGGTGTATAGGTCTAAGTGCTATTGCTATTAAGAGTCACAATATTGTGATCACATGATCACCATTCATAAACTTCACAGGCAGAAGATCATAAATGATGATCACATAACCTTGGACTTATTCATTGTACAGAATATATTTAATGACTGCAACTGAAACTGCTGCAAGTGCCACTGTAAATTGGCAGTTATGTGAGATCACACTTTATGGCCTTATGATACTTAGTGATAGAGTTGCCAGTCACAATTACTTTCATTAAGCAAGAATTATAATACTAATGCCATCGAATGTATTTGTGTTATTTCTTTACTTTTTTATCATTTTGTATCACTCCAATTTTGATAATTGTACTGGGAGAGAGTTACTATTCAGGGACATAATTTCTATCACATTCAGTAATCATAATTATTTTTGAGATTTTAACATTATTGCTTGGGTTCTGACAAGCTCAATTTAGGATGTTCAGAAAAGACTATTTTTTCATGCAACTCAGTCATATTTACTTTGATTTATTAGCTTTCTGTGATCATAGTAAAATAGGTATCATGTAGTATCTAATTTTTGTTTGGCCAAGAGGCCAGGAATTGAACCTAGCATCTTTACAAAGAATATTCTTTACTACTGAATACTAACTCCCCACATCTCATTTCATATACTTTTTACAGTCTTGCAGAATTGTAGGAGACATTCAGTTTTGCCAAGACTGGAGAAGTATATGACAAAGATTGCAGTTTATCTGAGTTCCGTACAAATTTCATTTATATGAACCCAAGCCAAATGCTTAAGAAACAGATGATGACTCTTTCATTTTGCCATGGCAAATGTGAACATTCTTATCTAATGTTCTCTTTGTATTACTTTAAATGGATGTTAAAGAAAAAGCTATTTAATTGTCATAGACATGTCTAGTGTCACATCATATGGATCAACTAGTATTTTATAAGCACATCTTAAGAAATTAAAATTAGATTTCAAAGAGTTAGGAAAAAGCAATGAAATATTAGTAAAATGTAATAGTGTAATGTAGAGTAAGAAAAGCAAAATTAAAGAGTAATACTGAAGAAAAAAATATAAATTTGGCAATTAAGGAATTATACAAGAATATGTTTATATCTGCTGCTTAAAAATTGAAACCATGTACTATGAAAAATAAAATATATATTATATGCAGGATAAAAATCAGACATGTATGAAAAAAGACAGGAAACTTTTAAAGCATAAATGGTGATAAAGTAAATTATGACTGGTACAGTGGCCTAGTGGCTTCACCTCCCACCCGGAAGGTTGAGAGTTTAATCCTAGGTAGCGGCAGAGGTTTGTCCCCTAGAGTGCAGATATAAATATATCTGCTGCAATATTGGTGTGGTGTCAGGAAAGGCATCTGGCTAGTAAATGCTCAGCTTCATCCAGTCACCCTGACTCTACCCCAAATTAAGGGATTGCAGGGTCATAGAAAGGGAGGAGTGAAAAACTAATTTTAGTTTTTTTATTTCAAACACACACACACACACACACACACACACACATATATATATATATATTCAAAAGATAAAAGATGAGCACCAGGAAATAAAACAATCAAGTGTTTAATAGATAAATAACCTAGCTTTCAATGGCTATATTGCTGCCATCATCATCAGGGTGTAAAAGCCCGAGGGTGGGGGAGCTTGCTTATGACCGCAACCACGCCCGCATTCGACTCATAGACCTCATTACGGGGCCCGGTCGCATCACTCATATCAGACGTACTTTTGAGTTCTAAGTTCCTGCGGCTAGTTACTTCTCTACTACGCACGGCTCCTAGGCTGGAGGGAGAACGCTCCACATCACCTTGCACCAAAGTAACCTGTGTGATGCCAAACCGATCCTCTGATGGAATCCCGAACCTGGCCACCTCTTTCCCCCGTGTCCGTCCCACCATTCTCCGGGGACATGCGACCATATCCATGTCTTTGCTCACACACCCCCCTGCAACCCCTAAGACGTCGCGTGTCCACGCGTGAGGTGCACAGTAGTTTATTACGGTCCGTGTTCCTGTCAGTTCAGCGTCTGGCGAACACTCAACTCTCCCCCCCCCTTGGTATACTTCAAAGGAGCCCCAAGCTCCCAGAAAACTACATTCTTCAGTTTTTAGTCTAATTCTTAATATATATATATATATATATATATATATATATATATATATATATATATATATATATATATATATATATGTTTTCTGATGTTTTCGCGGGTATTTGTATATAGGTCTTTGGTTGTTCGGGTTTTCTCCCGCGTAAAATTGGAAGTGTCTTGGCTTGGTGATTTCGAGTCTGATTCTGTTAGCATCGTCGGGGTTGATTTTGGTCAGGCTGGTTTCAACTCCACATATAATGGTTTCAGTGGGGATGTGTTTGGGAGTGACTGCAAAGTTGAATCCTTTGGAAAGGACATTGGTTTCGGCTTTGGTGAGGATCCTATCTGAGATGTTATGCACTGTTTGTTTCATGTGTGGCTGTGAGGGAGGAGGGGTTTGTTTCTGGCGTTCTTGTAGTCTTCGGAGTTTGTTGGTGTGTGTATCTGTCTTGAGGGTGGTCTGTGTTTCGGCTCTCCAGACGGCGAGTTGTTTGGATTTGTCCCAAAGTGCGGGGTGGATCTTGTTGCTGAGTTTGAGGTGGAGTGTGAGGAGATCTTGTTTAATTCGGTCTAGGAGGAATCTTTTTGTGTGAAGTTCATTTCTGATTAGGGCCAATTCTGTTCTTTTCAGGATCCGTTTGGTGGCTGCAGAGTTGGAGTGGAATTTCAGTTGGAAACATGTGGGGATTAGATTTTGATCTCGGCAGTTGCGTAGGAATGTGAGGTCGCATAAAATGGAAGCTCTTTGGACTTCAAGTTTTTCATAGGTCCTGGTCAGATGGTGGATTTCCTCCCCGTAGAGGTTCAATATTTGTTTTCTGAGGTTTTCGCGGGTGTTTGTATGTAGGTCTTTGGTTGTTCGGGTTTTCTCCCACGTAAAATTGGAAGTGTCTTGGCGACGTTTCGACGAAGTCCCATTCGTCATCTTCAGGCTGGTGCTTTCAGCTTCGTGCCTCGAGCAGCAGTGTGTGGTCTTGGCTGTTTCTTCCTTTTAACTGCCAGTGGAGGTATGAACTGATTGGGTGGGAGCTTGGCTGTGTTCTGATTGGGTGGAGGTGTGTTCTGATTGGTTAGGGGCTTGGCTGTGCTCTGATTGGCTGGGGGGTTGGCTGTGCTCTGATTGGCTGGGCCAATCAGAGCACAGAGCACATAAATACTTTCCCATTTCATTGCAACACAGTTGATGAAATTCCTGGTTCCTGTAAGATCCCTTTGCTTAATTGATCAAGAATATCTATTTTACTAACCTTACTGGATTTAGCAAATTTCATACTTCCAGAATAGAATTTGTGTTATAATACAGCAGTCAAAGGTAATGGGAAGAGAAAGTGAAACGTAGACAAGTATATGCTTTTAGATTCAGATAAATTAGTAATATAATATACATCATCTATTAAGGACATAAAGGGAGAAATTTATATAGATTCCAGATCTATTAGCCACCTCTTAAAAGTTACTCTAATATACTATACTTCAACTCTTCAGTAATTCTTCAGCAATAGAATTAGATTCTGGTTTTAAAAATATGTTAAAAACCTCTGTTCTATTATATGTAAATGATACTTATACTTTATAGCTCACACATTCTTTTCCTGCTGTAATCCATTTAGAAATCTGGTACATGATAAATGAAGTAAATGGGACCTGATGGCACTAGGTTGTAAAAAGTATTCTAATAACCATACAAATTGATTTTAAATTCTGTCCTAAGTCTATATTTTTTCTGAATGAAAAGCAACAATAAATTAATATTGTAAGACATGATTTTCTAATTCCAAAAGCGTGCGTATATAAAATGCAAG